AGAGGACAATTTGAAGGGATTTGTGTCTCATTTTTTTTTTTTTTTTTTTTTTATCTCTGCTGTATTTGGGAGACCTTTCTCTAACTGTAAAAAAAGTGGTAAACATGAGAATTCTACTCTATGGCCATGTCAGTAATATCATTGTATTGCTCGTAGAAGTCTCGATGTCAAAGGTCACCATAATGTCTTCTGTAATATTTCAATAAGACAACACTTCACCATGGTATCCCACAGGTGGTCATGTTCAGGCAAGGTTTCAAATTTGCATATGAGCATATGTAATGATGATGATGATGATGATGATGATGATGATGATGATGATGATGATGATGATGATGATGATGATGATGATGATGATGATGATGATGATGATGATGATGATGATGATGATGATGATGATGATGATGATGATGATGATGATGATGATGATGATGATGTAGTTTTATAGCGCATTTTCTAAAGATATGTTCAAATGCGCTTTACAATTATATTGTTAACAGAAGAGATGAGTTTGAGATATTTGTTAAAGGTATTAAGAGATGAACTATAGTATAGGTCTATACTACTGGATGCACTGCATATATTCAAGCAATAACAAAAAATTATCTGGAGGGATTTGTATTTAGAAAAAACTCTAAAAAAACTCTAGAGGGACTCAGGGAACCTTTAAATCAACTTACAATGGGGAAGGGTGCAATATAGGGAGAGGGTGGGAAGGGAATGTGAAAAAAAAGTGATGGGACCCCTTCCCCCTATCTTATTAATTGGTGTCCTTGTGATTTGCATTTCATTCACCCAGTAACATCGCCCCCTCCCCAACGGTATAAGGGGCCCTCAATTTCTCAATACGCTCTACACCATTGGTTGGACCATTTTAAATTAAATTTTCAGATAACTTTGACCAGAAAAACCTGTCATATTCCTTGAACTGGTCGGAAAGCTTCTAAATTTAGTAACAATCCAGCACAGCCAAAGTGATGTCAAATTTTGGCAATCATGTCCACAAAACTGTATTTAGCGAAGTAATGCACTTTTCATTACACGATCCTAGGGCTTAGTATTGGTTTTCAGGAAAGACGATTAGGAAAGGAACTCTTCTTATTAAAGTAGGCTAATATTATCAGACTAGAAAACTGGCTTAGAGTAAGGCATCAATGTTAACTTATCATTCAAACACATACATTTTTTTCTATAGTTTTTTAGTATTGAGAAACATTCATTCAATCGTACTTTTTGGGTTACGACAAAGAGAGGTTCATTTTTTTTTTGCATATCTTGGGATAGATACCTGTCCGTCAGGGTGATTGATAAAGGCAGATCTTGTCATTTTCTGTCAAATCTTCTTTGCCATTTTACCTAAATTAACCTTTGTATGAACCTTTCTGAGTGCTTACTGTGGGGAGAATATTTTGAGTGCTTCCAAATTATTGATTTACTATGGAATTCATCAAAGAACAAAAACTTGCTCCAGAGATGTTATTTGAGTTGTAATGATACCAATAATGAAAATACCTCTTCCATGAATGCCAATAAATGTCATTAAATTTCTTCCCTGAAATATTTATTAGACAGTACAGGTTACTATCAGCATTAAAGTAACTTTAAGCATTAAGTTTGAAGTTTGTGTATTCAATTCCAGTTTATTTTAGCTTTTCATTTAAGGTTCTCCATGGAGTCCTTGTTCAAGCATAGATTTTGCTTCCTTCTTATAAGTTCTGAGAGAAGGAGCTGCATCTCTACACAATTATAAAGGGGTTTTTCTAGTCAGAGCTTGTTTGATTAATTTTTTATACCTCTTTTTTTTTAGTTTTCCAGAGCTGAATCACTGTCCATTCCCTTGAATTTTAACTTTTGCAGAATAAGGATTAAGGAAGGAATGAAGGGGTCAAGGGAGAGACAGGAAAGGGATGGGAAGAGACTGAAGAAGAGAAAAGGGATTGGAAAGGAATAGAGTAGGTGAAAAAGAGAGAGAGAGAGAGAGAGAGAGAGAGAGAGAGAGAATGGAAAGATTTCATTTGTCAGTATGTTTGAATAAAATATGAGAAAGATAAAGATCTGGTAACGAGAATAGGAATGAAGGGGAATACACAAATATAGAGAAGGATAACATATTTGAAAGAGAGAATTCTGGATATAGAGAAACATTATAATTGTTTACAACAATGTATATGTAGGTGGCCCAAACATTTGACAAAATGTATACAGGGCTTTGTAAATGTGCTGTCAAATTGGATCGGATAGAACTTAGGTTTTAGATGAGAAATGTGAACATTCAAATCAAATTTTTAACCCAGCATGAAGCTTGAACATGTACAGTTGATATGACAGTATGCGGTATATCATACATTCTCTAAAAGTTCAAACTGAAAGCATATTATATGTCTGAGTCATGGGCCATAAGTTTAGTCAAAGTCAATATTTTCTCTTCATAGCAGTCACAGATCACCAATGCTCAATACCTGTTGATTGCTATCACCACCATTGCTTTATTTACATAGTCTACATCAACTAGTGCATATCTAATAGTTTTATCTTTAGTAATTCTATTACCAAAAATAAATCTTTCAGTCTTTTTTGTAACAAAATTGGTGAAGGTTTTTGTATGTGCTTTAACTGAATACGTGAAAGGTGATATCCTTGTATATAGACATTATGTAGCCTACTTCTAATATCTTCATACCAACCACTTTTTATCAGATCTCCTGGAACAGCCCCACCCCCATGAAAAGAGAAAGAATTAATGATAATAATAACAACAACAACAATAATGATAATAATAATATAGATAATAATAGTAATGATAATAACAATAATAACAATAATAATAATAATGATGATAATGATAATACTAATGATAATGATAATAAATGATACTGATGATAATAGTAGTAATAATAATAATAATAATGAGAGTAATAATAAATACTCTAATTAAAAAGAAAGAGAAATTAAAATGAATTAAACAATTCTTTTAACTTTAAAAATTGTGTGATTCAAATCAAATTAAGGAGCTGGCATAAATTTCAATCAAACCAGCAGGAAATGTAAGGTGTATTTTGAATATAATCCTAAGACGAGAGGGATGACATGCATATCATTTAATCATCTAATAAGTATAGTCCTGAATGTCTCCCATTCAAAATGGCCCTTCTAGTGGCAGCAGCCAGTTTGGATAGCTACAACATGTTATGATGTTGGCCTTCTTGTTGGGAATATTGAACTTGTGAAAGGCTAGCCCTCAGTGCACCTGGATAGGATCGTACACATATCTGTTATTCCCATATCTCATCATACTGTATATATATATGGAGAGATGTAGACACATGATGAATGAGCTCTATGAGCATGCACGGCTGCTCGTATAAATCATTAATGCTTACCCTAACTTTATGATTGATACCAAACCCTCCAGTGCATGCCTCTCACAGATGCAGTCTAGCTCCCACAAGACGGATCATATTGTTGCTCTGGGTTTATTAAAGAGAAAGTTAAGTTCTGGGAAGAGGTGAAAAATATGTTGTGAGCGTTATCATTATTATTATGCAAGTGTGGAAGAACATCTGATAAAAAATGTTCCCTGAAAAGCATGGCTCTTCAAATGCTTTCATATTCTAAATATGGCATGTAACAACATAAAAATTGGGACAGATTTTTATGCCATATGTTCGTGTAGTCTCATATACATCTATCTGTGTACAGTGCTTGTAACTTTACCAAGACTGGGCAAAATTTCTTATCATTTTGATGATTCCAGAACCTTGCAGTACACACCAATACTGCTAGATGATCAACCTTTTTTGATCAATTCCACACCGTTTCTTTCACAATGCAATCGCATGACCAGAACTCAACTTTATCTTTAAGCTTCTCTGATTGCTATTAGATGTTTCTGATATCCATGGCTCTTGTTGCGGATTTTCCTAATGCTAAATAAGTTATTTAAACTATTTGACTATTGCTACTGCTACTACTTCTACTACTACTATTGCTGCTCATGTTTCCAATATGGCGAGAAACGACTGAAATGTTTTGAGCAAACTTTCATGCCATGTTTATGCGTGTGCAGTCCAATATACCCACTTTTGTGTACAGCGCATGTCTTCCTGATTCCGAAACATGGCAGTATCCACCAATTACTATGTGCTACATCTTCAACCTTTCTGAATTGGTTCCACACAATATCTTTCACATTGTAATTGCCAGAACAAGAGGATGTTTCACAAAGATCTTAAGTTGAACTTATCTCTATGTTGGACTTAAAAATTATGGAGAGCCATTTGTAGCCTTAAAATAAAATATATTCAAAAGTGAAAATTCAAGTATTTTAGACTTTTCATGAATTTCAAATCAAGAACATGAAGTTTTCCATGATAATTGAAAATATGAATGATTTTAATCAACATTTTATGCCTTTTAAAATAATTTTAGAAAAAATATTTTCAAAACGGCTTTCCATAATTGAAAGTCCAACTTAGAGATAAGTTCAACTTAGGATTTTTGTGAAACGCCCCCCTGCCCTCATCTTTCTCTTTAACCCCCATATACTCATTCTACATATACTGTACATGAATATAGGTGTGCTATTTGTACTAATTTCTTATCTACGTGCAGCTGTACAGCCAAGGCTAGCCTACAGTACAGGAAGCCCTATAAAAGCATTCCTTAGGAAAACTTGAAAATTATATAAAGATTGAAACTAAGAATGTAAAATTAGCTCATTATCTTACTTGCGTTTTTGGATATTTCCTTTAGAAGTCAGGCCTTGTAGGGGTTGGTTGTATATTAAAAGCAACAACAAATCAGAGAAATTGATCAGATTGGGTATGAAATAGAGAGTAATCTTATTAAGTATAAGTTGAAAGAAGTTTTTAAATAGGCGACTCTGTAATGTGATATTTGTTGTAAGTAGCTCTCCATCTATTAATTTCACTGGATGTACCCTATAAATCGTTGTGATGTAGCATTTTGTAAATATATATTTCTTCCTTGTCATTATTCAGGTTGAGGCTCAGCTCACATGCTTCTGACGGTCTGATACCATCAACGTGCAATCTAGAGGTCACACCAAACAGGACTGTGACCCTTTAGGAGAGAGGTCAAAGTTCATTGAGAAGGAAGGTGCTTCAAAGATCAGAGAGAGTTAAAGAAGAAGAAGAAGAGAATAGAGAGGGAAGAGAAGGAGGTGGAGGGGGACTGTTACAGGCCCTTCTGCGACTGATGTTGGGAAGATAGACAGATTTCAAGATGGCGCATGTTTTTGGGATCACCATTATCTGCTTGTGTGCCCTCTTCTCCGTCTCCAGTGCAATCTCAGGTAGGTCTTTTTTTTATAAACTAGCTCTGAATATTTAAGATGATAATCCATTCATACTTGTGTTGCCTGACTGTTGTGGGATCAGCTTGTAGTATGTTCAAAAGAATTACCATTTGTTTTTGGGATCACCATTATCTGCTTGTGTGCCCTCTTCTCCGTCTCCAGTGCAATCTCAGGTAGGTCTTTTTTTTATAAACTAGCTCTGAATATTTAAGATGATAATCCATTCATACTTGTGTTGCCTGACTGTTGTGGGATCAGCTTGTAGTATGTTCAAAAGAATTACCATTCATGCTGTGAGTGCTCGAGGTAGTCATTCAAGACATTGTAATTCAGAAATACAAATGTAATACATTCATTCGTTACCGTGTTCATTGCTGGGGCTATTATTGTTACAGCTATTAAAATTGTTAACTATATATATCTATTTAATGCTATTGTTGTTGATATTTTCACTTTTCATATTTCTATCAGACATTACTGTCCATCTTTAAAGTAATACAATTATGAACTGATTTTGTTTTGCTAGTGCAGCTATTATTACCATTACTTTTCTGATCACTATTATAGCTACTGTTACTTGAGTATTACAAGGATGCCAGTTTTTGGGGTTTGTCTGATTTCGGTCCTTGTCATCTTTCTCTTTCAGTCTTTTTCAGGCTTTTTCAGGTTCTACATTGCGCATCACACATCACATTTCTGTGACATTTCTGTTTATTTGAGTAAATCCAACTGATATCCCTTGCATTAGTCATTCTAGTACAAATCCATTACATTTGTAGTACAGTCAAACTTGTCTATAGCGACGTCCCAAGGGAAACACAGAAAGTTTTTTCTTTGTAGATGGGTTCCTTTAGTACATGTTTTAATGAGAAACCATTTTCAAGGGAAACAAAACATGTGGTCTTTGTGGACAGGTGGTCTTTGTAGACAGGTGGTCACTATAAACCAGGTTTGACTGTTTCATCATAAATTTTGTATTTCTTCTATCCCATCCCAGCGGAAATCCTAGAAAGCAGTCCGGTTCTCTTGGTGGGTAGCAGCCATACAATCCACTGCATGGTGGACATCAGCGGAACCAACCTGACCGCAGCCGACGTCATCTGGATCAAAGGCTTCAGTGAAGTCGTCGACTACCATCGCCACAGCGTGCTCAACGACACCGTGGCCCAGCTCCACATCGACGATGCCCAGTTCGAGGACAAGGGCTACTACTACTGTGCCTTCCCCGAGGATCAGTTTCATGAGTTCATATCAGCGGCATCTAATGTTCACGTGGGATGTAAGTGGTAGACATTAGTCCAGACTTACTTAGAATTTTAAGCAGACCTTATTTGTAATGTAACCAACTTTGATACATACATCTTTGTGAAGTGCCACAATACCAAAATGTAAAAATGGTCTATTGAACTTATCAATAAGGCAATATTTTATATTTGAGGGGATGTTGAGTTCTGGGGCCATGCTTCATAACTTTTTTTTAGCAATAACAAGTTACAAGTATTGGTGCAAGCTACTCAAATTATTTCATTTGATCGACTATGAGTAGATTTTTCTTGGTGGATCAATGGCAGCTTTTATTTTTGTGTGAAAGGAAAGTGGGCCCTTACATGGGATTGCACTTTGACTTATACTGTGACAAGGTTATACTGGAATTCTCCCCTCTCAAACAGGGTGCTTACATAATGCAGAGAGAGTCTGAAGACTTGGGTAACAATACACAGATGCATTGCTTTGAGATGTAGTAGTAAGTTATAGATCCATAACGATATTTTAATCATTGTTCCGTCATCCCCTGTTACCCCCTCCCACCCCCCTTTCTCTGTGAAGGGCCCCCGGAGCCAGTAAACAATTTGAGTTGTCACTCTACCAACATCGTTGACTACTGGTGCAATTGGGAGGACGGCCGACCCACAAACCTTAAGACGGTCGACACCATGTACTATGAGGGGTAAGCCACAATTAAAGTACTTCCTTCCATACATGCATTGTACATTACAGTCAGACCAGTGTCGAAAGACCGCTCAGAGGAAACAAGTGCCACAGTAGACATGTTCTGCAACATGTTGCAGAGTGCTGTCAAACCTGTTTGTAAAGATCACCCAATTGAAACATGAAATATGGCCACTGTAACCAGGTGGTCTTTCTATTCAGGTTCTCCAACATATGGAACGTATCTCAAACCGGTCAAACCTGTCTAACAAGGGAGTTGGGACTGTAGTCCAGCCCTGCTTATTAGACAGGTAGCCTGTGTGGAGTGGTAGTCTATATATTCAGGTTTGATTGTGTAGGACTTAATAATAAATAGTAATAAACAACATTTATAAGGCGCTTAATACTGGTGTCTCAAAGCGCACCATATTCTGACTAAACAATTATTTACCAAAACTTATAATAAACACACAACTTATACATCTGTTCTTTATTCAATAAATCATGCAAATATAATAATAAAAAATAAGATAAGAGTGAGATCAAACATACATACTAGAGGTCAAACATAGGATCAAACATAAGATCGAACAAACAAAAAAATAAGACAGTATGCACCTCCCTTGACTTGTTATGAATTCAGTGACTTTTCTGAAAATACACGAATGGGATGTCCATGCACGTGACAAGTGTCATGAGAAATTGATATATGAAGCCCTTCAAAAGTCAAGTTGACCATGTTCAGATTACTAACCTTGAGAGTAGAGCATACCATTTCTCGATATAAATGGTCATTAGACGGTTTTAACTACCTTACAAGAAATACAGTAAGATAATTAAGATGAAATGTGATTATTCAGTTCTTTGAATTGGATATTAAAATGAAAAAGCTGATTGATAATTATTTCTTTTGCAGCGACAAGATTTGTTAACTCTAGAAATTTGCCAAAAGCTGTGTACTGTTTTTACTTTGTCATATTGTTAATATACATGCCACCAACCAACATCCCTTACACATAGTGCAACTTGATATCTATGTCTCTTTGTTTGAAAGTTACAGCCCCTTTGCCGAGAACCATCCCATCTTACCCTGTCATCCGGAACGGGAAAACAACTTTTGCAAAGTTACCGACGGCTCCCAAACTGAAATATATGTCGTCAGCTCAAACCCCCTTGGCAATGCCACGGCGCGTTTGGGTCTAGAGTTTGACCCGCACAGTGAAGGTAAGACTCGTTTGTGATTGTTGTCTCACATGGTTTTGCAGTGCTCTTCGTGTCTTGGTCAACGTTCAGAAGCTGTCCTAGTCCGTCCGCGCTGACGTCTCTCTACTTCTTTCTCTTCTGGAGAGGAGTGAGGAAAGCCTTTCTCCGCAACTCTGTCTGCAAACATCTTTTTTTTGCCATATATTTTTTTTTCTTCATCCTTTTTGAACTTTCTCCTCTGTGGGAATTTCAAACTCTTGTTATGAAAGCATAAGCTTGGCTTAACTTGAGCCACTGACACTATGAATATGATGGACAAAGAAAGCGTACAAAATATACAGTTCCTCAGGTAGACAAAGGAACATCCCTTCACTGCTATTATGTAAAAAGGGAATATGCATGTGACACCTGTTCTACACATTTTTACATAATAGAAGTGAAGGGATGTTCCTTTGTCTACCTGAGGAACTGTATATTTTGTCCGCTTTCTTTTTCAGTCATGTTCATAGTGTGATAGACGGAATGCCAAGTGTCAATCTCTGCTATGTAGGATTTTTTTGTAGATCTGTTACAAATATCTTACAAATCATCAAACCAAATGATGTCAAATGATGTCGGTAGTGAGGTACACAATGACTGTATATCTTACAGGATGTAGAGGTTGTCTCTTGGCGCTTCATAAATCAGTGATTAAATTGTCTATTTTCTTGGGCCTTGAAACCCAGACTCAATTTAGTATGTGTTTCTGAATGCCAACTTTATTCTGCTCTTACGTCCATCTGCTTCTCCATCTGTCCTTCAGAGATGGACCTGCAGCTATCAGACCTCTTTGTCTACGTATTCTAAGATTTCTCTTGATTAATAGTCACTGGTTGCAGAAATCAGCATTGCTTGCATACTCAAAAGAATATTACACAGAGCTGGGGGATGTTTCACAAAGACTAAGATCAACTTAAGTTGGACTAAACTATGGCAGGCGTTCATGCCACTGTTTGCTCTCACCATTTACTGGCATTTGTCTCTCAAGGGACATACAAATCGTGGGCACAAATCCACACTTTTTTTCTTCAACAGTGAACTATCAAAAATTTCTGTAGATTTGTGACATCCCTTGAGAGACCAATGGTGAGAGCAACTAGTAGCATGAATGGCCTGCCATGGTTCAGGTCTGACGAAAGTCGATCTTAGTCTTTTTGAAACGCCCCCCTGGTTTGTGAAACTAGTGACTATCTATGCTATATGTCGGCATTCTGCAGTTTGAATGATATGTGAGACTAGATACTTGTCCTAGATTCTATTCTATTTTAGAAATAGCTTTCTTTGCATCATTGGCTGCCCACAGGAAGGCTCTTAACTGCCTTCTCGATGGCTGCCCACAGGAAGGCTCTTAACTGCCTTCTCGATGGCAGCCGATGAGAAGCACTCCTATGATAGTGTAGTAGATGTGCTTATGAGTTCAATAGACCAGTTCAGGGTTAGCACAAGTCCCAGATGACCCCAAATATCCACAGATCTTCAAAACATGAAGAGGTCCCACTTTGTACATTTTGAAATAATCACTCCTACAGCGATGGAGGTGCTACATAAATAGCCTCTGTTTCCCCTTGTCAAAGAATACTTCCACCTGTGTATCATGGAGTGCACTGCTTGTGCATAAATAAATATTGATTACATAACACTCATGAGCACATATCCAGTATTTTGTCCCCCATTTATTCACAATTTGTTCTGCAATGACCTTTATCTGCTCATGCTCAGACTGACACTATGAACTGGCTTACTCTTCAAGGCTTTAATATAATGATGAATATCGCTTATATCAGTTACAGAAATAGATACTAAGTGCTTGATTCCCAAATTGATTTCCTCTGTATTTAGTGTCATGTTCATTGTATGTGACGCTTCTGTGCTAAGATTATCTTCATTATAGATGCTACATGTAAAGTGATTTGATTATTAGTACAGTGGTCTTATTCACATTAATCAAACACATACCACATTGATTCTGAACAACTTAAGTAGTCATTTAACAATTAAGAGTTATGCAATTTGAAGTGGTCAAAAAAAGAATGCTTGAATTTACTCATCATGTTACACAATTTAGAATGTAGAACATAGCTCCTTAAAGTTATCTTAGAAAGTTTATAGATAGGAACCTGATTTTTCTGCTTGACTTCTGAGTAAAGTGTAAAGGTTATGTTTCCCTTTCAGATATACAATTTACAGACTCCATTTTGTTCTGTGACAGACTTCAAAATGTGTAGCGATGTTTGCTCATGTAATTCTTCAAATACTATGTCCAAAAAAAAATGCACTAGTGCAACAACAATGTGGCACAATTCGTTAAACACCTGACTTAAAAATCTTCTTTTTTTTAATTTTTTAATTTTCATAAATCTTTCATTTCTAGTTCGCCCGAATGCCCCAGAGAATGTTGTAGCACAGGTCAGCGTGCGACGGAAGATTGCCATGTCATGGGAAAAGCCTGCTGACTGGGGTAGCACTGCTTACGGCTTGCGCTACTGGTTACAGTACCGCAAAGAGGAACAAGAATGGCAGAATGTGAGTTGATGTTATTGAGCCTCTGAGCGATTCCGCGCATCGTGTCCTGTACGACACCTGACATTTATCAACACATTTCATCCGTGAATGAAAATTTTCTTGATATGACCACAACTTATGGTAGTGACAGCAGAAAGTACTATTAGTTATTAGTCATTTCAACTGATTCTTTATTTTGATGAAATGTGTGGGAAAATGTCATATGGGACACATTGCATTTAATTTGATGCATATGGGACACATAGCACAATTGGATGCGTATGTCATAAGACACATTGCATGAATTTGCCCTACTGTAACACCAGAAACAGTATGAAATTTCACGAGTTTGATGAGTGGTCCAGATACATGACACTTTCCTGCTACACAAAGATTGAATAACAACTCAGGATTTTTAGAGTTTGAAATAGTTTCTGGTCACTAGAGTTAGAATGGTTGTAGTATTGATGAGGGATGATAGTTGTTGGCATTCCACTCATTGTCTGATCAAACCCTGTAAACTTGAGATGTATCAATTTAATTTGGGTCTGAAAAGTGCCTCAAAATGAACTGACCTAAATGGGATTTTGAACCGATTATCTTTATTATTCAGTTCTGATGTGGATTTTCCAAGTTTATATGTTATGTAGTTCTTTAATGTATTTATGTTCGTGCAAAATAGATTTATACAGCTTTTAAAAACTATCTTTAGTCCTAGAGAATTTGTACCATGTTTGTCAGTATCAAAAAAAGTCTCGGAGAGGTCAGGAAAGGTCATTCATTTTTGTTTTAATTCTTCATTTTTAGGTCTCCCTGGAAAGCATCAAATCGGACACACAGTATGTCCTGTCGGCGCTTGACCCTTACACCACCTACTTTGTGCAGGTCAGCTGTGCCTATGATGTCTTGGTAGAACATTACCCTGGGAATCCCTTTGGGACCTGGTCCGAGCCAATTGAAGTGGTCACCATGGCAGAAGGTATGATCAGATTCCAGCCGCTCACTAACTTTCATTGAGATCTTTTTTTTTTTTTTTTTGGTATATTTATTGAATTAATAACTGTTTTTATTCTTTTAGTGTGCCATTTCTAGCTATTCTTCAAGATGAAGATCAGATATACTCAAATACTACGTGTAGTCTGTAATGAGTTGGAACAAAGAAGCATGGACTGTCCCGATTACACTTTACAGAGGTTGTTCAATTATAGAGATGATCTTCCATGGCTTGTAAAACAGTGAGCATTTCTGTGTAATTCTCCGATCTTTTGAAAGGTTGTTGTTTTGTAGGCAGTCTAAGGCTATTCAATTCGGCTGTGACAATATGTTGTACAATGATATATGATAGTTTGAAGCCTGTGTATAGTATTCGGCCTCAGTTTATCCGGAGGTCAAAAAAAACATTTTGTTTATGTGTGAAACTGTCAAGAATTCTTTGAATGCTATCTTCTGCTACAGAACCTGCTGCAACCATGAGCACACTGAAAGTAAACACCGTCACACCTGATGACCCTATCTATACCAGAAATATCCTACTAGAATGGGAGGTGAGGCAAATTTGTATTACCATCTGGGATTTTTTCGATAGAACAGTTTGATGTCAGTTATTTCAATTAGCAGTTACACTACTAGATAACAAGGGGAAAAGCTGCTAACACTATGAAAACGACGGACAAAGAAAGAGGACAAAATATACAGTTCCTCATTCTACCCTCAACAATTGATGTAGATAAAGGAACATCCCTTCACTGCTATTATGTAAAAATGTGTAGAACAGGTGAATATGCATGTGACACCTGTTCTACACATTTTGACATACTAGCAGTGAAGGGATGTTCCTTTGTCTACGACAGCAATTGTTGAGGGTAGAATGAGGAACTGTATAGTTTGTCCTCTTTCTTTGTCCATCATGTTCACAGTGTAAAGTGTCAAAATAATGTAGCCCTCTGAATGAAAGGGGGGGGGGGGGGGTGGGGCCTGCTGAACCATGAACTAGCAGTTTAAATTTCTTTGGTATTGCATAAGGAGACTGGATCATAACTTGATATGCGCTGCATGAAAATAAACTGTTAATCAAATTTTGTCATTATTACAATTTCATCATTGTTTTTCATTCCAAACCTTCAGGCGCTACCTGAGATTGAATACAGAGGCCCAAACTTTGGCTACAACATATCAGTGCACGATGAGGATGACAGAGTAGTCCAAAACATGGTGACCACCAATGATGTAATACATATCGAAGGTATGTAGAGAAGACAAAGCATCTATATTGTTGTCATCAAAATCAGGGTGTGAATTGTTAAAGGAGAGAACAGGAGAATGTGATCAATTTATGCATGGATATCGGAAGAAATTTGAAAATGCTTTTGTGCTGTTCAAGAAGTAAAATCCAAAACTGAGAATGTTTGCATTCAATTCATTGAACTTAAAGCAATAATGAAGACTAAAATAGAAGCTATATATCAAGATTAATACTATATTTAGATTGTATTTGTATTTCATTCTGAATGATTTTTCCCAAGTCTTGTTTTTAATCATCCATTCAATTTAATCTCTCCTGAAGAGTGTGCTAGCAAAACCGTGATAACACCTTTAAAGTAACTGCTTGTTGCAGTCGATTCAGTCTTGTATTTGTCATAACTTGAGGAGTTGTCACCACCCCTTTCATCTTGCTACCCATAGCATGTCGGACCTGATTTCTCAACACATGTATTTTTAACATGTACCTGTATACATGATTTTGTTTTGTGAGAGTTACAGCTGTGAGCAGTTACATTCTCCCCACTCCCCATAGCCCAACCTTCTCTCTCCCTGTATCCCATCTTTCCCTCCCCCTGTAGCCCAACCTTCCCTCCCAACTCCTATCATTTTCTATTCCCTTATCTTCTTCCTGTGGAAGAGGATGGTACGTGTTTCTGTGTACCAAGGTACTGCCTGGTAGTTGTTAACATGCAATCCTTGAACTTCTCTAGAACTGGGGTAGCAGATCCCTGAAATAGCCATTGCGATATTATCTCTTCGGAAATCCTCTGTGATCGGAAATGTATGACAGAATACCCCCCAACCTTTTGAGATAATGTCACTCTTAGTGACAACCGTTCATGTACCTGAGAGCGTTTAATTTCTAATATCAAATGTCTGCTAGTGGAAAGAATTGGTTTTCTGGTGGCTAATCTCAATAGTTTCATGCCCTGGATATAGTCTTAACTTAAAACCTAGCAATGAGAAAACAAGTCTGTTGATCGTGTTGCTTAAATTTAAAACACTCTGATAATATTCTACAATATTTAGAATTATGTGGTCCCTCGAGTACTCCAATTGTATGCGCCAACTTAACCAGTAAGTAAAACACTAGAAGTTCAGGCAATTTCCTTCAGATGCTTATTTTTTGTTAGCCTTTTGAGATCTGTTTCTTTTATACAAGTTTTATCACCTTTCATCTTTTCAGCATCAAAGATTACATTACTTCCAGCACGTGTTTAAACTTGAGTTTTTATTTGTATTTTTATCTTGACACTTAAAGCTCTTATGTTTGGTTTTCTTTCCAGGTTTTTTTAGTATTCATAGTTAATGAGATATAAGTTTGTTCAAGCCCATTTTGAAACTTTTTGACTTCAAAATTAAAGAGCCGTAACAGACAAGACAAGATTTGTGTTCCCTGGTTTTAATAGTGTAATGGCCATTTTTTAATTTTAATTAATTGTTTTGATGCAATGCTTGAATTAGTAAAGTAAAATGATAAAACTAACTTCAGAAATGCCAAGTTCAAAAGGTAATCTTATGCAATACAAAGTGAAAAATTATCGCTAACAGTAAAGAAAATGTTCCAATGTTCTAATTACAGCTATGATCATGTAAACTAAATAAAAAGCGAACACCGTAACGAAATTCAAATGTTTACGTTCGTCTTCTATTAACTCTCACCATATTAGTCAGTTCAACTTTAATCCTACTTCACAAACAGATTATGTATTCATGTTTTTTCTAAGAATCGTATAGTTACCAAGTTGAATATGATACCCTGTTTCAAAGCCTTAGATCTATACTTTTTATTTCTTGTTTTTTGTAATGATTATCTTTCAAGCACCAGCACATTTGCTAATGCTTTGCACATATATTTATCAATAGTCTTCTTCTTATTCCAAGTTGGTATTTAGAGTACCGAAAGTCAGTTCAATCTCAGCATTAGCACATAACATATCAGATTTATTCCTAGCAAGAGGAATAGACTTTTCACTGCATTGCAGACTACGTTTTTCTTATATGTACTTTATTATTTATGATATTTTTATGATATCATTCTTATATATTTAATTTTCTTTGTGTTTGAGGCGATTCTGATGAAAGCTTATTAATATGTTTTCTTGAATCTCTTTAGTTTATTGATCTTCCGTAAATCAATCTTTATTCTTAAATTTTATTTACAATGTTCATATGTATGCATGGTTTGACTTTTTATACAATTATATAATTTTCTTCTTTTCATTCCAGTTTTGCATGATAAAAAGATTTGTTTTTTTACTGTTAGGGTTCAGGGGATATGAAAAGATATTTTGATGAAATAATGGTGTACACCTGTATATGAAATAGTAGAATATATCATTTGTACTATATTGACTTCTTGACATCATCATTATCACCATCTCCGTTATCATCATCATTATCATCATCATCACCATCATTATCACCACCATTATCATAAATATCATCATTATCATCATCATCACTATTATCATCATCATCATCATCATTATTATCATAACCATCATCATCATCATCATCATCGTCATCATCATCAATATCACCATCTCCATCATCATCACCATTATCATCATCATCATCATCATCATCATCATCATCATCATCATCAATATCACCATCTCCATCATCATCACCATTATCATCACTATGATTTTCATCTTTATCATCATCATCAGCAGCAGCAGCAGCATCGTAATATTGCAGGTGAAGGTCTCGTAGACTGCAGTCCAGCACATAGTATAGTATATGTACCTATTCTGTCCTTACAAAAATCTTTTGTACACATCTTTTCTTCTTCAAATTCACTGATCCTCATTGAAATTGTTTCCTCTTCCTACAGGTCTTGATAAGTTTGTGAGGTTAACCGTGTATGTGACTCCTTACAACGATGTCGGCCCGGGGGTCAACAGGGGTCAAACGACCCTTCGAGATGAAACAGCAGGTGAGTGAGTCATGCTATATATGTAGAAACATACACTGACTAGGTCCTCTTATATGCACTATGCGTTATAACCCAGTGCAACATTGACGATGACATCCTCTTTCTTGTATTGTGAATTTCTATGAGTTCAGGGGGGTGTTTCATAAAGCTGTTCGTAAAGTTACGCAGGACTTTACGAATGACTTAAATATGAAAAGTCGAATGTGATGCTCAATCATTATTAACTGCATCAACTAAAGTTGGACTGTGCGGATGTAGATTAATATTCTTATCATAACTAACATTTTTAATGCAAAGTATATTTTTTGGCCATAATTTAATAGAGGTTATTGGAAATATAGCCACACTTTGGTAAAACATCAGGAAAAATTTTGGGCATCCTTTCTGGCACTTCATATACAAGTCGTTCGTAAAGTCATGCGTAATTTTACGAACAGCTTTATGAAACACTCCCTAGTTTGTTATGTTAGCTAGATCAGCCCACATTCTTGATCGGGGTTTGTATGTTTTATCAGTCCTTGTGTGTTGCCCTTCTTCAAAACCTAAAGCATGCCCCAAAGTTAGACAAACTGAATACCTCAGTCTATATTCTGGGAAAGGTCGTTGATGTACAAACTCCATTTTTTTCTTCTTTTTTCCCAATTTTTGTTTCCATTTATTTTTTTTAGTGTAGAAAGAATTTCTGTGTTGATGAAGGCTCTTTACCTTTTCCTGTAGTAAAAGTATGGTATAAGTGTATATCATGAGAGGCCATTTGCATATCATTTTATACTTTTTCCCCAGAAGTGTTCATATGTACATGCATTTAATTTCCCAGAGTTAGAGTTTTCTCAGTTCCCATGAACTTCATTTACATATGCTGATCATAAATTGTAGGAAAGCAACTTGCACATTGACTGTGTTTCCTCCTCATTCATTGTTGCAGCTCCTCGCCAACCAGACAACATGAGGGTAGTGACGAGACGGGCCGATTCACTCCAAGTCGCGTGGGATCCTCCAAGCGAAATCACAGGCCACATCCTAAGATACCAGCTGGAGTGGTTCCAAGATGATACTGAAGGCCGTATTGGACTGTAAGCAACCCATCATTTTTTTAAATTTCATTAACTGCATTTTTTGGTTACAGAGATAGCATCGTCAGGTTGGCAGAGGACACCTTTAAAGGGATCGTTTAACAATGTTAAATCTAAGGTACACGGCCCTACGTGTTATCAGTGTCTGTGATATGGTGTTATATTGAAGCACTACAAAAATTGCGCTTCTAAATGATCAAGAAGTGCCTCAAAAAAGTAAAAATCTTTGAGTGACCGGTTTTACCAAACTCGTTTTCCCCAATAGACTGTAGTGTTATGAAATGCCAAACGGTTTTCAACATTTGTAATTTCAATCATAAATATCTTGATAATCAGACAGGCGATCGGCTTGTAAAAGTCATGGGGTTCCTGACTGACCTAAAGGGTTATAATTATCATTACAGCATGAGCAAAATCCAGAATTTTGTTTCAAAATCTGAAACAAAGTTACCAGATCCCTTTAACTGCATTTTTCTAGTTACAGAGATGGCACTTTCAGGTTGGCAGAGGACTCCTTTAACAATCTCAATCACAATCACTCAATAGTGATCCATGGGAAGCACTTGCTTGCTTGCTTTAAGATTCCAATGCCTAGCTGAGCATAAATTATAAGTTCATTTTAAATTTAGCATCACGCATTAAGCGGTCTTGTTAGAACATTGTGCTGTCCAACAAGCTTCTCAAGATGATTGCTCTACAGCCCAACAATGCCATTACTGTAAGACCTGGGGGGGGGGGGGGGGGGGGGCGTTTCACAAAACTTGTCATCAGTGACAAATGACAGTTTTTGTTATGAGCTACTGAAATCTTTGCTTCTGATTGGTTATCAGCAGATTCGTCACTGAATTTTGTAATTTGTCATTGAAAAAAGGCTTTGTGAAACGCCCCCCAGAAGCAATGACAACGTGTAAAGGAAAGTCTTTCTCTTGGGGGTGGGGGAGAAGAGAAGGCTTTGGATTAATATTTCATGATGATTCCAAAAGTTCCAAGAGGAAAGGAGGAGAGGCAAATTTTAGTTTGGGATTAAAACCCTATAACAAAATTGACCCTTATTGTTGATGAAATACAGTCCGGAGCAAATGTCTCATCCCTTGGATGGCAAATATACAAATACCTGACTCAAACCATACTAATAGATTTGTCATGGATTAATTGAACTTACATAATTCAAGATTCAAGATAATATATTGTCATGTAAAAAATACATAAAATTTGACTTCAGACATTTAAAGGTGATATACATGTACATAAATAAATATATCAATACAGACAAAATAATTACATTTCAACATAACATTTAACAATCATCACAATTTTAAGAAAGTTGCATTACAAGAATAAGATAATACTGAGGAAAAGGCAGTGCAGTTAAAAAGCTTGTTTTGTTTTGTTATTGAGCTCGTCCATCCAGGCACTTCCACGCCAGAACACCTCTCCAGCTATCACGCATCAACACAAATACACAAATACATGTGACACACCCCTGCACACACCTCTTACACACACGCACAATATAACCGTACACGCCCTGCACACACGGACACATGAGAAGTGCTCTGGCATAGAAATGCCTGGATGGAGATGATTGAGACAATGAATTATCTGAGTATAAAATAGCTATTACTCAACGGCGACTTTGAAAAAAGAGAGAAGAGAAAGGAAGAAAGAAAGAAAAAGAAGAAGAGACATTCATGCAAATTACTAAGCTTGGGTGTGGTGGGCAGTGTAACACCAACCCACCTTCATGGAAGGTCTTGATTAAAGAGGGTTGTAAGTGAGAACGTACTGAAGAAAGGGTATCTTGTTACAATTCAATTGCATTCAGTTTATTTGGCATCATGAAAATATATAACAAGTCATAAATACAGAATAAGTAGTTGGCCAGGACCTCTAAGAAGCAACTTGTGTTTGTACATGAAACCCCTAACAAGGTAAACACAATATCAAATTAAATAGAAAATAATAAAAACAAACTTACTAGGCATATATATATGTACGTTTAGAAGAAGAACAACAACATAAAATAAGAGACCTTTAACTGTCAGCAGGTATCACCAACATATATGCACACACACACACACAAACACATTCACACACAAACACACACAATACAAAAAAGGGAGAATGCAGAAGAATGAGACAGAGGAAAGGGAAGAGATGAGAAAGATAAAAAAAAAAAGGGTCTACTCAGTCAAGTATGACATTGTTTTAAAAATGTGACGTTTGAATAGAGCTCTAAAACGAGAAATGATGTTAAAACCAATGGATCTTAAGTATATCCTTGTAAATGGATGGGAGAATGAACAGACAGTTTTGTGGTGTTGATGTCAAAGGTCACAGATTCAATATTATGTATTAACGCCAAAGACATATCGTTTCACTTTCAGGGGGAGTGCAGAAGTCTCTCCGACAGAATTCAGCCATGAGATAACAGATCTCGAGGCTTATACATCATACCGCGTATCAGTCAAGACTGTTAACAAACTTGGGGATAGTCCCGAAGACAGTATCCGTGTCAAGACAGCCCAATCGGGTAAGTTTGCAATGATGGCAATTAGCACTCCTATCCCCATCTCTCCTTTCTTATGTTTCTCTCTCTTTCTCTCTCTTTCTCTTTCTGTTTATCTCTGTAACTTTCTGTCTCTCTCTCTGTCTCTCTCTCTCATCTGTTTATTTTTCTTCTCTCCCTCTTCTATTTGCTCTTTCTCGCATGCCCCGTTCTCTCTTGCTCTCTTATAAAAATCTGCTCCTGAAATTTGTGAGATATTAAAATTTGCCTTGTAGACCTTGATCCATTTTTCTTGTACACCCACTAATGTATTTTGCTCACTATAGCAGAGCTGCCAACCAGGAAGATTTAATTGTATTTTGTACGATATTTAGAAGTAAATACGATTGTACTGGGGGGGGGGGGGGGGTGTTGGTTTTGGCGGTTATTTTTTTTTTTTTTTTGGGGGGGGGGGCTTGTTTTTGTTTTTTATTGTTTTTTATTGTTTTTTATTGTTTTTTATTGCCATTTTCAATGGCAAAATGCCCATTCTGTCCTGTAAAGTATCCTACAAGCATCTCACATCGGAAATTTAGGGGTGTTCATTGGTTCATCGAACACACCATTAAAGACAAAATCATGGGTACTTATCGATCAAAAGTACAATTTTTGTCAGTAAAACACAACTTTGGGGATTAAAAAATACAGTTTTTGTACTCCAGAGGTTGGCAGGTCTGCTGTAGGCCATTTTCGTAGTCTATTGTACAAAATATAACAAGCTTTCTCTTTCTTCTTCTTTGTCTGGTTAGGTCCATCTGGTTCACCCCGGTCTCTACAGGTCAGTCCGGTAGGGACCCACCCTGATCAGCTGCTGGTCGTATGGGAGGAGGTGCTGGCCGACCAACGGAACGGAGAGATTCTATTCTACACCATCTTCTACTGCCCTCTAGACCCTGCTCAGGAACAGGATTCTCCCATTACCGTTTCTCTGGCTACAGACTCCCATTGCGCTGGTAAGTTCTTAAAGCCTATCTGCACTAGTTTGACCAAAAGGGGACCATGGGGGATCAACAGGTACTGCTTAGGCATTGTTGGCTATTTAGAGGGCGCAAGTAACTACAAGTAGTACAGTCTTGCTTTAAAAGGTGTTGCACGTAACGGCTCGGTCACATATGCCGCGCTAGAACGCAATGGGTTCTCATTGTGTGTGAACCAAGTGAATGGCAAGGGAGATGAACAAAAATGCAGTGAAAAAAACGCAACAAAAGCCCTATGCATACTCACTTCTCTGTATGTTAGAATATATAAAAGTGTGAAGGGAAGCCCATGTTTAATGCAGCATATGGGAACTAGGCGTGATAGTTAGAGGGCCATTTATTATCCAAGTGCCATTTGAATGCAATTATGACCAAAGTAAGTGAATGCAACATACCAGGCTATAACAGGAATATTCATAGAAGATGTTTATACAAACTCCCCTGACCTGATGGTTTTTTTTTTTTTTTTTTTTTACATATAAACAGATCTTATAAACAAAATACAGTGAACAGTGTCCAGAACAGTTGTGAAGAAATAACAAAAGTTGATCTTAAACAGTTCTATTTCCTTTGCGTGCTTTACATCGAAGTGATTGATCAGTTGATTATCAGTTTTGAAGTAACATCCAGATTCCTTAAAGAGTAATCGAGAGAGCTAAGCTGTCCGTCTACTATATCCCTAAAGATGATGCTGAATACCTTCGCTTTTTAAAAATTCCTCCTTCTTCTAGATGGAACACAGCAGGCACTCAATGTTACGGGGAATCCCCTTCCACTCAGAGAAACCCTGATGGACCTGAAGCCCTTTACAGAGTATGTGGTGAGGATCGCTGCGTCCACCTCTGCAGGCCAGGGACCTATCTCAAGCCTCAAGAAGGCAGAGACCGTTCAAGGACGTAAGTGCCTATCACTTCTCATTATCCATTGTAAAAACCAGGCCTGGGCCCCATTGCACAAAACTTACCCTTGATGGTAACTTTGCCATCAATGGCAACTACCATGGAAACCTTGATTTTGATTGGCTGTTGAGCCCTGTTACCATGGTAGTTGCCATTGATGGCAAAGGTAAGATGGTAAGATTTATTCAACAGGCCCAGATGTAATTATGCTACAGAATGAGAAGTTTTATAATGCTTATCAACTTGCCTTAGTGACAAACTTTATAGAAAGACGTACCCCTTTGGCTAATGTTTCTGATTAAAAACCTTATTTAGGGACATTTATTGAAGAATTTTGCATATAAAGAGGATGGTTTATGAAGGCAGGTTGTCCCATAAGGTGTCTTTGAATACGAGATGGACGATTCATTTGTTGACGTTTTTTCAATTTCTTTGTTCTATCACATTATGCAGCTAGAATTTCTTCCTTTCAGGTTATCATTTTTCGTAACCATGCAATCTAATATTTTTGTTAAACGCCTATATATGTGTTCTTTCCATTATGGACTAAGAAAGTTTTGTAACCTGCTGTAGAGTATAATCTTGTGTCATACATTTGCAGCAATGTCACCGTATTACTCAATATCTCCATGCATCGGTGTGTTGGCTCAGTGTGTTGGTAGAGCGTCCGCCTCACCACCGGGAGGTCGTGGGTTCGAACGCTGACCGCGTCATACCAAAAAACGTTAAAAGACGGGAGTTGCTGCTACCTTATTTGGCGTTCAACAATAAGGGATAGAGCAACGTCGATCTGGCGCTGCTCAGTGGCGGCTGGGCTCACGATCAATTGGGCAAAAAGAATTTCCATTTTCGGTTTAACTTAATAAAATTTGGAGTGGACTTTAGAATATTATTATTATTATTATTATTATCTTTTTTCCCCCACAGAGCCAAGCGAGCCTCGTAACCTTGTTCGGACCTTCTCAAATGACAGCACGATCCAACTAGTCTGGGAAGCACCAGAGCAGATGAACGGAGTCTTCAAGAACTACGTCATCGAATACAACAGTGAGGAACAGATCTCCGATGTCGAGTCGGCCACCCTGGAGGTGAATGGATACTTGCATTACACCATTCGAGTTCGTGCATGCAGCCAAGCTGTTCCCGATCTTGCCTGCGGTCAGGCTGCTGTTACATACGTCACGACAGATATTGGTGGTAAGTTGGAACATCCTTCTCCAAAGACTTAGTAATGTAATGTGCACTACCTTAATAATGTAAGATACAGGGAGTATCTTTTTACAGGGTGTAAGAAAATGATTATGGTAGGTGTAATATATCGTTTATATAACATACTGATGTTACCCACTGCTACCACTATATTAAAGTTATCCAAACAAAATAGTACCTAGGGAGGTAGTTCAGTAAATGTAATATCCCAATTAATATCCCACTCCTGCACCAAACAAGTAATTGACAGGGAGGTAGTTAAGTATATGTAATATCCCAATTCATATCCCACTGCTGCACCAAACAAGTTAGGTAGTTCAGGAAATGTGATATCACAATAAATTAAGGTACTTTATATACCTATATATATACCACTTAAACGAAAATTCCAAACACGTAATACCTCAGCAGGTTGTTTCTTAAATGTACAGTAAACTATAATGTGGTGTCTTTTTTCCCATTCTCTTCAGCTCCTTTAATGGTGACCGATGTTGAGATTTATCTGGAAGCACAAGACACCGTGAAGCTAACGTGGGGGAGACCCGCTGTACCCAACGGCCCTATCGACTACTACATGGTGCGCTACCGACCCGCAGACAGCGAGCTCGAATGGCAGGAGACCCTACCAGTCCAGATGACCTCCACTGATGTGCCTATTGACTGCGACCTGGTGGATGGAGCAACCTTTTTCAACTTTGAGGTGTTTGCAGTGAACGAGGTTGATAGTATCCCCTTGGCTGGAATGATGTCTCTTGCTCACCCTTTTGAAGTCTGTAATTTGCATGAAGGTGAGAATTGGAGCTTATATAGCAGGATAAACCCTTCATGATTTTGATTGAAAATCGATGAAGTGGATTGTTATTTTAGGTTAAGTCGAGGGTATGTTGGCATATTTTATATTTGATTGTCTCTTTGTGTGGAGGGTCTCCAGATTAGCAGCTGATTGTCATTTGAAAAAAATATTATTTCTCAAATAAGAAGATATTCCATAAATACAACTTTGTTTTTAATTGAAGGCGTACTCGCCTTATAAACCTGTAAGGTATGTCAAAATAAGATAGAGATGCAATTGCTCACTTGTAGAATAGTGGTCTCCTAACTGGGATGTCCTGGGTCCAAAACCAAGTTAGTGCACTAGCATGGCATTACTCCTCGGCTAAGACTTACAGGGTATGATGTAAGTCCACCCATTGCTTGATGACACAATATTATAATATGAAAAAAGTATATTTCTTGTAGCCTTTTGTTGATTTGACCAGCATTTTGATGAAGCTTTTTCTGTTGGTCTTGTTTTTGTAACACAGTGCCTGTAGTCACCATTGTACTAGCCATTCTTCTGCCAAGTTTTGTTGTGATCGCTGCCTTCTGTTTCTTGATCTGGGTGAAGCAGTCAGACCTCTTCAAGCCAGCTCCTGATCCATACTTCATTGAAGCAGTACTCGATCACGGTGTAAGTAAAGCCCCGTCTTAATAGAACTTTTTTGATCTCACCCGAGCGACATGTGGATGAGAAACAATGGGGGTCTGATCGTAAAACACAGGGTGAGCTTTTGGGCACCGTCTTAATCAGCCATCCGCAAAAACCTTTTTCATTTCACGGAGATGACGTAATTTACCCGGGTAAATGTCACCCTGGCTCATCTAGGGTGAGATTTACCTCGATATTGTCCGGACGTTACCCCCGATTGACGCGTCTTAATTGGAAGGGGGGTAAACCGCGACTTCATTTTCCAATTAAGACGGGGTTTTTAGATCTTTCAAGACAGATTTTTTTTTTTAAACTGCAATTCTTGGTATGGGAGATTGACTGCATGTGCATTTGCATGTGATTGAAGAAAAAAATTATGTCAGGTAAAAAAGTTTTCAAAGTGGGAGAGATTTGAACCTGCAACATGTACTGTTTCAAATCGACTTGCATGCTTGAAATTGAAGGGAAAAAAATGGATTCTGTTCATTAGAGGCAACATTTAAAGATACTTTTCAATCTCCATTTAAAAGATGATGAGGTGTATAGATGATAAGCCAACTAATAGCACTTTACAACTTCCCAATTTGATTAGATTATTTATGAAGTAACGTAGGTGCATCCTAGATAATGAACATGTTAGGATGTTGCACTAGTAGATCAAGAAATCATGTTTTGGTCATGCTGTTGATTCTTGAAATAAACTAACATTGTTAATCTCACTATTTGTTACAGCAGGATAAGTTCCCTATGCACGGTCGTCTTCTGCGTACCGAGGGGGAGAAGTTTGACACTGTTCGACAGGCCAGTTCCACCACCAATCTTCTGCAGCCTCCTTATGACCGATTGTCCTCCAAAGAGAGTACCAGTACAAACAGCAGCACTGACCAAGGGATCCATGACATGAATGGGTTCACTGATGAGCTGCGTTATGTTCGAGAGAACACGGGCAGCCGCAGTAACAGTGAGAGCGATGAGGAGCGGGCTTCTGGACCTGCCAAGCATATGATGCGCATCATGAGCGATGACTATGAAGAGGAGGATACTGTCTTTGGGGCTGACTCTGATGGCTCAGTGACGTATTCCCGCATCGCTGAGGCTGATGGTGCGGATTGCTCCACCCCTATGTTATCCAAAGAATCAGCACAGTATGTGAGTGACGGAAGTGAAGGATATTCCCAGCTGTCGCAGGTCCCTCTGCAGGCGAGTGCCACACCACCAGTGCCAATCAGAGGTCTTGCTGACCAGAGGAGTGAGGCTTCATTTGGCAGTCAGTCAACGGTCAGCTATCATCGACTTGGAATGAGTGGACTGACTCCAATCACCAGCGTAGAAACACTGCCATCAGAAGACCCTTTGGCGTATGCCCGTTTGTCTCAAGGTTCTGAGACGGACATTGAATACTCTCAGTTGGCAGCTGCCTCTAGTAACCAATCCCTGACAGAAGCTAGAGGTGTGAGGGCACCAGCCCAGACTGAACAGAGGGAAGATAGCAACACCCAGGAAAGCAAAGGGGTGGCAATGAGTTTGCCAAGTGTTTCAGCAGCTGGTTGCATCCAACCTCCCCAGGAGTTCATCGTAGCCACAGCCCTCTCACCTGGAAACCATCCTCACCCGGTCTCCAAGACAGATTTATCAGGATACGTCACCTCGCCTCCAGCTACAAAACCACCCCCGCCTGTCAAGCACATGAGCCCCGACATGCCTAAGAAAGACCTGAAAGGCAGTCGCAAGAATCTGGCAGACTCCAAGTCGCAGAGTGGGAGTGATTCGTCTTTGACTGATGGAGAAGGTTACAGCACCCTCGGCTTAGCAGACTCGCCTTCAAGCTCTGCCCCACATCACCAGCCGCAGAAGGTGGATGCGCCTTGCACAAAGCCATCCATCTCGACCCCAGAGCCACATATGCCAGTGGATACTGGGTATGTCCCCAAGGATATGGTCGTTTCACAAGCACCTCCAGTCGCTCCACAAGCTCAAGCAGTTCCTCAACAGAATACACCCGTCAAGAACCCATCAGGCTACATCACAGAATCAGAGTTACAATCTCTCCCTCAAAATCAACCAAGTTTAGCGGATCCGAAAAGCGATAGCATAAATGGTTTGCCAGCGAGCATACCAAGCCCTATCAAGCACATACCCAACGGACTCCCCAATGTGAGAGAAAACGGGTATGTTTCTAAGCATGATATGCTGCCACCACAAAAAACTGCCGGTCAAACGATGACCAACCATAATACAGCCAATCCATATATCACGCCTGAACAAATGGCGCAAATTCCGCCCAGCACCCCGTCGCCGCCACCTTCGCCGCCGCTCAACAACAATCACCCGTTGCCGCCTGGCAAGGAATTCCGTCCCGACGACCCCTACGTGGGAATCGGGACAGACCGTAATATAGCTGCACTGCCTGCTAATCATTCAAGTGATTTCGCTGTATGTTAGTTGCTGCATGTTTGACTTTGTATAGTGTGTATCATGATGATATTCAATTTAAACTGTGTTCACCTCTGTGTATAACTGAATGATACCATGAAAAGGATTCATGCCTGAGGAAAGTCTTAGCGATGGAAAAGGAATGAAGGATCAATTGCTGTTTGTTTGGTGTTATCTACCTCTCTTCAAAGAATTTTTTTCTTGATATTTTTATTTCTGATTCAATGTTTTATTTTGGACGATGGAACAGTTGGCCTTAGATGTTCGGTCCTTAAATCACTTCCAGTGTGATTAAACAATATAACATCAAGTTGCTTTGCAGGGCAGAAGGACGATGATCTGTGAGCGCTGGACAACATTATCAGTGATGTCCTCTAAAGCATGTGACTGCCATTTGAAGGACAGTAATGATCAGCATTAGAAAAGATGATTTAAAGATAGGCAATGGTGTTGTGCATTGAATCGTGAGCGTGAACAAAATGAAGCAAACACTTTGGGCAATGTAAGCAATTTGTGGTCACATTTTTATGAACAGGTACAACCACAGGTAGTTAGCTGCACATGTGGGTGTGTGCCCTCCAAGAATCAAAGGACAGTTTCTATGGGTGCACTTATTAAGAGAGGTATGTCAATAGACAAGATGTGCTGGCTGAGTTGGACGTAGTCTTTTGGGGAATGCAGTGACAGTAAGGTTTCTTTGACTAAATACCCCTCGACTCACAGAGGACAATCTATCGTGCAAAACAAGCTCTTTTCTCCCCTTCTTCAGTGAATTCATTCTTGTCAGTATGTAACAACGTTACCAGTAAACAAGGGCCAAATTATCAAGACTCGTCTTAGAATCCCTTACAGCTCAGAGACCTCTCTTTGTTGCCAAATGTGAAACGGAAGCTTGCGGAGTGGGAAAAACGAGGGCTAGACGCTCCGGGATTTCTTGGTATGTAAATATTGTGTAGTTAATAAAAAAAAACATGGAGATGTCTTCACTTTCCAGCTCATGAAATGGGCTCTATTTTTATGATTTGTTTTCTCGACCTTAAATGGCAAAAAGACGTCGAGTGACGTTTGATGTGTGTGTGTATTTTTCAAACCTTAAAATATTATGATACTTTCAACATGTTGTCATGATCAACCGCAGTTCATATTGTAGTTTTAAAGTTTGATTTTGGTATTCACCCATGAATTGTTATCAAACAAATTGCTATCAGTGGAACTACACAGTTGCACTTATCACCATATAACATAAGCACGTTCATCCATTCCCTTTTTTCAAAAACAGAGGAAACAAATGGAGATTATCTTGTGATATTGACAAGATTGGTGCAGAAGCTATTTTCCTGATAAATGATTTCTACAAAATGCATACAATTCAAATAGCTGTTTCCGTATGTGGAGCTCACACAGATGTTTATCACAATTTAATGTTTTTACAAGGAGTCAGGTTACCATGTTTTCCTCATGCATAATATAAAGCAAAAGAAATGTTCAACTCCAATGTTCACCCCTTCACACAAATTGGTATTGTATACTTGTATCATTAGTAATTATTTTGCAGTTCCCTCAGCTATGGAAGATAAAAGGAAGACTTTATCATGATGGCCTTCTAATCTCAGTATTTATGACTGATCAAAACTTGCGTATGATGTACCATTACACATGGTTTTAACCCTTCACCTAAATTGTACTATTTCACTTTCGAAAAATAGATATTGCAAAATCTGTTTAAAAGGGTTTTGGGAGCAAGAGTGTATGGATAGCGACAATGTCATTAAAATCCTTTAATATTACCCATCGGTGAAACTATTGATGTATTGATGAAGAATTACATGTATGAAGGCCAGCAGTCGCCACCATCAAACTACCTGATATTTTTTTATGTGAAACAAATTTTTATCAGGTTTGAAAACAAATCAGCATTGCATGCATGAGAATGTAGCTCTTTATCTTGTAAATAAATGTACAGTGACTAGTTTTTTATGTCGTTTTTGCAAGCGTGTGTACAAATGCGAGTACGCCATGAAATTTGTGTAGGAAACAGTGCAAACAGTAGTTCATATATGCTTTTTTTAGTGCTCTTTACCTTATTTATGTTGCACGTTATTATTTGTCATTGTTTAAAGGACACAAGTTGTTTGTGAATGGTCATGTTATATCAGTTATCAGCCATGTCTAGTTAACGTCACAATTGTGTTTTAATGCTCGTATGAAAATCTTAGGGATCTGTTTTTGAAAATGTTTATTTGTGAATTTTTGAGAAACCATTAACAGTATTATTGGTTGAATGATTTTAAATGTGTCAACTTTTCATGAAGAATTAAGTGGATTTAATTCTCAAGTTTTAATCATGTCGATGGCATCAAACATCTAATCTTTCTTTTACATTTACATGTGTCCTCTTTAATACCGTTCTTATATTTTGGGGATTTCACTCTGTAAAAAGCAGCCAAAGGATTGTTTAATGACAATGACCTTTCAATACGTAAATTGCTGTTGTTTGTCTTCTCTACTATCGGTATCAACCTGACTTTTATTTTCTATTTAGTATCTAATTATTCCTTGCAATAGGGTTGTCAGTTTTTAAGCTATGTGTGCTCAAATATGGAGAGGTTGGAAAAAGAGAGATTTTTACTTCTCAATCTTTTGAATTGTTTTTGGATGGGCCAGTGAAGGAATATTGGTGTAAACAAGACAACAGTGTTACTCTACATCCTGAATAGGGTTGTTGCAAGGGTGTTTCACACCACTCTTAAACTTTGGGAGATGAAGCATGTTGCAGTTCACCATACACATGCTGATCTTTGCTTCTTTTTTTAAATTGATGAATTTTTATCCCCCAACGCCTGAATGAAATGCTTGAGATTTTTAATAAAGACTGAGAAAATATGAAAGGAATCTTTAATTTGTTTGCATCGCAACAATGTTTATAGATCTGTAAGGCCTGTGATTTTGATATCAATAGATAAAACCTGTCTATAAAGGCCGCACATCGGAAATACATGCAGTCACTTGGTATAATGGCATGTGAGATGGGCTGTGTGGATGAAAGGTACTACCGGTATTTCTGAAAAAATTGCCTGTTTAATGGAAAGAAACACCTTTACTTCAAATTATCTTATTGATTATGCATTGGTTACAAACGATTTGGTTCACAATAATTGAGTTCTACCCACTGTACTTGTACTTAAGTCCATTGTGGACACTATTCATGTATCTACAAGCCCCGTTCACACAGGCAGGCCACAATAATCTCTCTTCTTAAAAGGGCAGCACTAAAACAGAATGACGTAATTAAAGATAAAGTTGAGTTCTGGTCATGTAATTGCATTGTGAAAGAAACGGTGTGGAATCTATCAGAAAAGGTGGATCATCTAGTATATAAGTATTCGTGTGTAGTGCAAGGTTCGGGAATCATCAAAATGATAAGAAATTTGACCAAATCTTTGCAAAGTTGCAGGCACTGGACACATAATGATGTATATGGGACTACTCGAGCACATGGCGAAAAAAACCAACCCCCGATTTTTACGATGTTTCATGTCATATTTAGAATATGAAGGCATTTGAAGAGCCATGCTTTTCAGGGAACATGTTTAATCTGATGTTCTTCCACCCTTGCATAATAACAATGATAACGCTCACAAATTATTTTTTACCTCTTCCCAGAACTCAACCTTCTCTTTAAAGTGCTCTTCACATTTCCATATCTTTTAACACACATATAAGTAAGTACGCTTTGGGCTCCCTTGTCCACAGCTCCTTATGTTTTCAAGCCTATTGATTGTTCATTTACTTTTAAAAGATTTTTTTAAATAATTTTTGTATTGCGTTTTTTTTTTTAGTGCCCCCTGTGTGAACCAGTTTGAAGAATGATTTTACATTTTAAACACTGCCTTGTAGCCACTGAAATTATACATGGATTTCATCTTTGGCAAATGATTTCTATGTGTGGGTAATATGGAAACCACCCTTTTTTCGACCAAAACAATGTTATCCCTTCATATTTTAGTTTTTATACTGCTCAAGAATGTTTTGAGATATTCTCTGATTTATTTATATTTCTTTTGTAATAAGGCATCTGTACTTAACAACCAGCCGCGGAAATTCACCTCGTTTGGAAGTTGAACAAAAAAGCTTTATAAGGGAGTTTCTGTCAGGGGCCGACTCTAGAAAGGTGGACAATCGCTACAGATTTTGTTTTTTCAGAGGTAAATTTTGTCCCTATTTTCACAAAGTGACGGTAGTGAATGAAAATCACATACAATTTGCGTGCAGATTTTCCTCACTACCGTCACTTTGGGAAAATAGAAACGATTTGTACCATCATGATTATTCAGACATATATTTACAATCAAGGGGTTTGACGATTACTGATACAAAATTAATTGTTTACATTTCTGACTTATTCTGAAACAATGCTACATCTAGTACATGCTGGAAAGGCTCACCAAAATGCCCACATACTTTTATTCAAATGAAGCACCAGATTTTTCTTCTCTTTTTCGGAGAAAATTAGAATGCCTGGATCTTCTGCGATAAAAATGCACTCTTTTCATATTTTGGGAGTGTCATTAAAAGAAGAGAAGATTAGCACCAAATACAGTCATATTCAAATTTAAAAAAAATGATGAATAGAAGATGTATTTCTGTGTGAAATGCACTCTTAGATGGAAAAAAGAGGACTATTTTGGGAGCCGTTTTTATTGTAAAGAAGAGAAAAGAAAAACATTATTTTTCATTGTATTCATTCTACAGATATTATATCTATATATATGTATATTAAGTCACATGCATAAATCATTGCAGGATGATTCTGCTATTTTGGAGAAAAAAAAGTATATGAATGTATTTCATGCCAACTTGTAAAAATGATAGTGTATAGTCTAGTGTTTCTTAAAATGTATGCATACTTTTTTTCATATGAAAGTGAGTGATCGAAAGTTTATATATATATATTTATATATATAAATCTATTACATGTTGCACCCTGTGAAGGTAAACTTCACCGCAAACATCACAAATGAAAAGGAGAGATGTAATTTTAACAATTTTTCTTCTTTTTTCTGGTATACGACAGTTTGAATGGTACATATAAAATTTACAAGGCAGTAATCGTGTATTTTGTGACAAGAAAATGGGTAGTTTATGTGAACACACAAACAGTAATTCACCATTTTCAATTCTGCAATTTTCTTGTTGGGTGACTTTCGCTTCATGGTTGAAAGTTGACTCTCATTTGTAGTGGTATTTGTTTTTCATAGTTTCTTGTTCTTCATAGTGATGTAGAACATTTATTCAAACTACATTTACTCCAAGGAACATACTAATTTAGGAAGAATTTTGAAAAATAATGAGGTTGCAAGGGTTTTTTACATTAGACTCAGGCTTTAAGACTGCCAAACGTTGTCACTTTACATAACCAGTTTAATTGTGATAAATTTTAGCAAATGGTACACTAGTTTGTGTATTGGTTACTTGAAAAACCCTAAATTCTCTCAAAATATATTTAAATATTACCAATATGTGTAATCATCATTGAAGTTTGTCCAATAATGAAATAACCAACATAGAATAAAAACAATTATACATCATGTATACCGTATGCAAATGGATAAAGGTTTTTATTAATTGTAAAGTTAAAAAATGAAAAATGGAAATTACTTGTTTAAAAATTGTGAGTTTACTGCCAATTGAGTTCCAAAGAAATCAATATCGTTCATATTGTGGTGTTCCATAGCTTTCATTCTGTCAGTCATCTACCTTACATTTGTCTATAGTGTATACTGTTGAGAAGAGATCAAAATACATCACATTTCATGCTTTGTAAATTCTGCAGTAACAAGGGGGGAAATCATGAAAACTGTGACATGAATCAAAGAGTATGTAAAAACTAGTGAAGATGTTCTAATTTAATCTGACCTCTCGTCTCATAAACATGATAAACCGCCAGTATTTCTTGACAAATCTAAATTTGATTTTTGTTTTCTTCTTCAGTGTTTAATACGTGTTAAGATTTGTATAAATGTATAGATTTAAGGTCACAAATCTTTACACTCTTCGTTTTTAAAATTGTTACAAGTCTTTTTTTCACACTTCTTTTAGGATGTGTTATGATTTTGATGGCAGAGTAGTTGGATTCATACTTTCTCTTATACTTTTTTTTCTTAGGAATTATTTGAAAGGGAAAAAAAATTGGATTAATATTTTCATTCACTTAACAGTATTTGGGTAATTTTATGATTGCTCGGGTAGATCTAGAGTGTGTCATTTCATATTTGATCATATTTCAGAAGAGTTGAACTTCATGACTATTATCCACTGAAAATGTTGAAAAATCATTCAAAATTATGTATTTCCCGAAGCATCAATTATTAAAAATATGTTAAAATATGTTTGATCCAACTTTATTTGATTGATTGTGTGATTTTGATCAAATAAGGTATAGAATTTGAAATTTGAATCTAAATATCAAATAATGAAAAAAAAGTCAGATGCGGGGAAAGTATATCATGTAGAAGATTACTAGGACATATAATGTGTGATTCAGGTCATAGAGAAAAAAGATATATCTTTTTTTAAAGAGTGTTGTCGGTTTCTATCTCTGTATTTTGTCTGTATAATGTGATGAAACTTGGCAACGTGTAACCAATTATATTTCTGTCTTGTCAGATGAATCAAGTCTATTGTGTCATATTTTGTGGTTCTGTGTGTACTTGAGAAGGAGTGAGAGAGAAAGAGATAGTGAGAGAGAGAGAGAGAGAGAGAGAGAGAGATAGTGTGAGAGAGAGAGAGAGAGAGATAGTGAGAGAGAAAGAGAGAGAGAGAGAGAGAGAGAGGGGGGGGGGGATGTGAGAGACAAAAAGCAGTGAGGAGAAAGATATATATGCTAGAAGGCTATTAATGATGATAATGGTAATAATAATAATGAAAATAATGATAATGATAGTAATAATGACAATAATACCGGTTTCTTATATACAGTGCGTCCCAGAAAAAAACGAAATCGAGAATTATCGATGTTTTAGCATAACTTTGTCACATTTATTATAGGATTTCCCGGCCAAATTCGCGAGTTTGTCGTTCATATTAATTTGTCTTGCGTTCAAATTCGACAGTTTTAGTGCAGTCGGGTATATCTCGGGTTTATATTCCTTTTTCTAGTTTTAAAATCTATGGAATTTTCGTTAGAATCTACGAATGTTTCATTCAAATTAATGAACAATGTGTTTCTTTCGCTATTTGGTCATTCGATTTTGCGCAACACGATTTTCTGACAACGCGACGATGTACTTTTAGCGTTCTAATTCATTTGTAGCATTCAAATTAGCACTTTGTGCACTTAAATAATTGATGGTCAATATACATTTCTCGTTCATTACACACTTGTTATAGCTCATTCTTTTTCTTTCAAGATTGTTTTTTCATGTGTATTTCATTTTTTTTGCATTTATACACTTATACTTATTAGATTTATCTGATATTCATCAGCATTTAAGTTTGATTGTTAAGAAGAAAACAACGACTTGCATTTACGGACCTGATGGTCTCAATATATTTGTAAATGTTCATGTAAGGAAGTTGCTTGTCTTATGTTTCATCATAAAGGTATCATAATTTCATCATGGAAGAAGGGTACAATATTGTGACTAGGGTAGGGACCAGAGTCAACAATTTGAACACGAGTCATTATTTAGCCGAATCTTTAGCCATCGATCTGCTTGCGGGCAAGTAAACTTTGAAACTCTTTAAGAAAAACAGAGGGCTGTGCTGGGTATAAGAGGCAATGTGAATTACTTTTGTAAAATTCCGAGTCTGTAGTAAAAAGGGGCGATTGAGGGTACCCCCACCTTTCCCTGGAATATGAACATGTCCGTGCAGAAATGCCATATCCCTTGATTTCGCCCCTTCTTTACTTTATGTCTGACTACACCAATCTGCATTGTCCTGAAAATGAATAAATGGAATAACAGCTTAGACCCCAATGGCAAATCATGCATTTTAACTGCATTATTTAAAAACTGTAAAAGTTTGTTGCAATTCTTTCCCCTAACATTCCTAACTTGAATAAAAATATTACGAATACGAATGACAGGTGTTAATTTGAATGATAAAAATTACGCTTCGACAAGTGAATATTAATTTGAATGCTAGTTGAGCAGTTTCTAAATTGAATGACAGATCTATGAAACCCTTCGACCAAAATCCTAAATTAAATACAGAAACTGGACAATTGAATGATAATTGGCACGGCAAAGCCGATCTGCGCCAACTTAAACAGTAAATGAATTCGAAAGACAAACACGCGAATTTGGCCGGGAAATCCTATATTAATAAATGACAGAAGTTTTTCGTCTATGGCTGATTGTCAACGAAACGGACTTAAGTCTTTTTGTTAATTCCGTTTGTTGCTACGACAGGCAGCCAGTGAAAACGAATTCGTTTAAAACTTTTAAAGCTTTTTCGAACTTTGTCATTCCTTGCTCATTTTTCCAGGTTGAGGTGT